ATTATCTACACACCCTCCTTCTCTCTCCCCTCTTTCTTTTCATGCCTACTGAAGCTCTCTGCTTTCCCCACTCAGCATTACTTCAGTTATTCACTTATTTACTTTGACATGGGGTCTGGCTATGAATGAGTCCAAGGGAGCCCCTGGGAGCAGGCCATGCAGTCCACTTCAGTGTCTAGGCCTGCCTGCCTCGAGTTGCTGCTGGCCGGCTGGCTCAGGGGTTGGCGCCCACCAGACTCCTCAGTGTGTGCCACCAATGCGTCTAGACTACATGGCCTGGCGGGGGTCCGTTCAGAATGGGAAGCCAGGTCAGCGCCTGTAGCCAGCTGAGACATCCTTAGCCCGAAGAACGTAGCTCTTCAAGCTGCTGACGTGACTGGAACTAGGAGACTATATATCCTCCAAAGGACAGCCATTACCACACCAGACAATGTGGGATGCAGATTGTGGATTGAAACATGGACTTGCTGGGCAAAAATCTTACATTTCCGCCAGGTGCCAGCGCACAGCAGAGAAGTTTGTGAGACTCTTATCTCCAATGATTCTTATCTCCAAGGAAACATTAAAAAGCCAGAAGTAGAGCTGTGGCTCAAGTGGTAGAACACTAGCCTTAAGCAAGAAAGCCCAGGCCCTGACTTTAAGCCCCAGGCCCACATACACACACACACACACACACACAGCGTACCTCTGAGCTTTCAGGACCACACACACACACACACTGCGTACCTCTGAGCTTTCAGTTTTGCCTGTTTGTATGTGATGCTATTTATGCTGCCTATCTCTGGTTCTTGCATTTACTCTAGAGACCTTGTCATAAATGTACCTATTGTAAGTGGTTATGGTGAAGTGTATGGAATGGAATGTGGTTAGGTGGGTATTTTGAATTATTAATGTCGTAGTACATGATGTTCTTAGTGGTCAGAAACAGCTTCTTGTTTAGGATAAATAGGGATGTAAGATTTGCTTCACTAAGTTTATATGGTACATAGTATTTTAATTAAATTGTAACATTGGAGTTACTCTAGGTCTTATTTTAGGCTGACTTGAAGGAGGAAATGGAAGGCTCTGGGTTAGGCAGTTGTAGCCCACTGTTTGGTGGTCCTGGAGATGGATCTAGCCCAGATAATCCCAAGCCTCGTGCCCTTGGTGGATGGGTGGGGGTGGTGTGCAGTGTGCAGCCGGCCTGTGTAACAGCTGCCCTTGCGTGTTCAGATATAGAAATCGGAGTTGTGTTACTGTTTTATTCAAGTGCAAGAGACTGCTGCCTGCGCTCGCACGCGCGCACTGGCTGTCTTCTGCGGTGCTCCCGAGGGAGTCCTTTGATCTCCCAAGAAGAGGGAGGGTCACTGTGGTTTAACCAAGGAGTGTTTTCCTCTGCGCGCGTTCTGAAGGTCCAGGCAAGGAGGAGGGCTGGCGGAAGGGTCTTCATGTCAGGAAGTCAGTGTTATGTTTGAATGGGGTTATTTTAAGAGCTCAGACTTCCTTATGCTTTTCCTCCCTCTGAGGTATGCCAGGAGCAGAATAGTCCCCTAGATTTGTAAAGCGCACTCCACACACACACACATACACAGACACACACACTTTTTGAGACTAGCTGGTATTTTTCCTTCCGCCTGAGGCTCCCAGGTAGCTGGAGATGCAGGCAATTTTAATGCTTACAATTTTAATTGCATACAACTATAGTTTTAATGCCCTTAGATTTTAGAGATTTTTACAATAACAGCATTCACTGTTTGTTCCTGTTTTATTTAATATGTATTTTTTAACTTTCATAGTAAAATCTCAGACTTCAAGAGAAGTGGAATTTTCTGTTGTTCTAATAAGGAAATTATTTGTGTAAGTCAGCTTGAAGAGGAATACTTGCCTTGTCTTTTTCTGTTGTATCCATTTTGAGTGCACGGTTCTGGGCTGTGAGCCCCACTTGGTTACATAGCTGCCGGTGTCCACTCCCTGTTCCTGCACTGGCCCCCCGCAGCTGCCCCTGCTGCTGTGTGGGGGCAGTGCTCTGGGTGGTGTTCCGTCCAGAGCCAAAGCTGGACCTGTGATGGCCCTCCCTTCTGCCCCGATGAACCGGAAGCTAGCTCATAGCCAGCATCCACGTTCTCAGGGTCTGTGCCCAGCTCCACACCCTTCCATTCCCTTGTCTGGCCTTCTTTCTACACTGAGTTTTCTCCTAGCATGAAAGCTGCCCTCTGCCAGGCTCCTCCTCAGGCCTGGCCGGGAGTCTTCTCCTAATACCCTTGCCTTCCTCTCGATGCCTTTGCTCTTCCCTTTTATCTTGTCTGAAGGCAACTCTCAACCCCCTTCTCATCACTTTGTGTGCCATACTTTGGAAAACTTACTTATGATGCCTTCTTTCTTAACGTGAATCTAATTTTCCTTGTTTCCCATATATGTGAAACCAAGAGCACCTATTTTCTGCAGTGTTGGAGGGGAGTCAGGGCACTGCTTTCACCTGGATGGTTGGCTTATGTGGTATTATAACCACAGCGCAACGCTGACTGCTCAGCGTTTTAAAGCTTCAGAGCTTGTCATCACTTATATTGTTTATAAGGATCCATTTTAACCAAATTACTTCAAATTAGAAAAAAAAAGAAACAGACACAGCCAACACCATCAGCTTAAAATTTTTACTTTTCTCAAACAGCACCAATGAAGCAAATACTTTTCAGTGTTGCCTATGTTTTTGCCATTGGAATTAACACCAGAAGAAACCTGTTTCTGAGACTGATTGATAAAGCACTAAAAACCTTTCTAACCCTACAACGGTGAATCTTAGGGAACAGTGATGAATGCCTTTCACTCTTCCTCGTGGTCGCAGTATAAAGCGTGTGTGTGTGTGTGCACGTGCATGTGTGTGCGTGCGTGTGTGTGCATGCATATGTGTATGTGTGTATGTGTGTGCACACATACGTGTGCATGAGTGCATGTGCATGTATGTCTATGTATATGCACATGTGTGTGCATGTGTGTGCATGTGTGTGCATGCGTGTGTGCGCATGCATGTGTATGTATATGCACATGTGTGCGCATGTGTGTGTGAATGTGTGTGCATGCGTGTGTGCATGCATGTGTGTGCATATGCACATGTGTGTGCATGTGTGTGTGAATGTGTGTGCATGTGTGCGTGCATGCACGTGTATGTATACGCACATGTGTGTGCATGCGTGTGTGAATGTGTGTGCATGTGTATGCACATGTGTGTGCATGTGTGTGTGCATGCGTGCGTGGGGGGGGCCCAGAACGCACAGGACTGGTTGCCCCTCTCTACCCGTGGACCTGGAGGCCTGTTCACGCTCCTGCCCCCATGTCTTCTACATTTCACCTGTGCCTCTATCTTCGTCCTGTGTCTTCAGACATCCCTAGGATTCTATCTCTGAAATATTTAAAATGTTGACTTCAAAGCCAGCGGAACGGTGCCAAGCATGCTCCTTCAGAAGATAAATGCGAAAACTCAGACAAAGGGGAAGTCGGGGCCCATTCACTCAAACAGGATGTGTGTGTCTCGGAGGCCAGGCTGGGTCATGGATGTAGAAAGAAAAGAAAGCCTCACAATGGAAGAAAAACAAACCAGTTTTGTCCCACAAGTGCCCATTCCCACGGGCAGCCCTGCCCTGGCACTCCTGCCCAGCTGCCTTCTGAGTCGAGCCTCCTGCCCTGCCTCCGTCTTGCCTACAGGCTTCTCCTAGATGCACATCTGTCTGTGCTGCGTCCAGCCCGGACCCTAGCCTGTGTGTGTGAAAACACCAACATGTGAGAGCGGAGAGCCAGATGTGCAGTTTTGCCAGGGGCTTGGTGTATACGGCCCGGCTTCTCCTGAGGAGAGCTGGGAGTCTTGGGCTTGGTGTATACGGCCCGGCTTCTCCTGAGGAGAGCTGGGAGTCTTGGGCTTGGTGTATACGGCCCGGCTTCTCCTGAGGAGAGCTGGGAGTCTTTCTTGGTGCTGGAGTTTGAGATGATCTTAGCCCAGGCCTAAAAGCACTAATGTTCACGTGTTTCCTCTGTGTGATTGTAACCAAACTAGGTCAGATGGGTGCCTCTCCCATCTCCAAGACGCTAACCTTGGAGCGGATTTTGTATCCATTGTAACAATAATGATTGCTGAACTTTATTTTTAATTTGCTCATCAGTATCCTTTGGCTAGGTTCAGTCTGTTCAAAGCCAGAGATGCCGCGAAGCTGACGGATACTGAGCAGTGAGGGCCTTGTGTGTGCTGAGTCAATGAAGAGCCAGCCTGCGAGAGCAGGAGGGTCGGGAGGAAGGTCAGGCAGACAGGAGGGTCAGGAGGAAGGTCAGGCAGACAGGAGGGTCAGGAGGAAGGTCAGGCAGACAGGAGAGTCAGGGGAGGAAGGTCAGGCAGACAGGAGGGTCAGGGAAGGAAGGTCAGGCAGACAGGAGGGTCAAGGGAGAAAGGTCAGGCAGACAGGAGGGTCAGGGGAGGAAGGTCAGGCAGACAGGAGGGTCAGGGGAGAAAGGTCAGGCGGACAGGAGGGTCAGGGAGAAAGGTCAGGCAGACAGGAGGGTCAGGGGAGGAAGGTCAGGCAGACAGGTCAGGGGAGAAAGGTCAGGCGGACAGGAGGGTCAGGGAGAAAGGTCAGGCGGACAGGAGGGTCAGGGGAGAAAGGTCAGGCGGACAGGAGGGTCCGGGGATAATGTCAGGCAGACCAGGTGTAGGCAACTGTGAGCTCCTCAGATTTGCTGAAAAGTTTGGTTTGTTGGTCCCAAGGACCTGGTGTAGATGGAAGTGCGGGGGTGGACTGGGGAGGGCCGGTCAGACGGGCACAGTGGGGCAGTGGGGAGGCAGGGAGGGCTGTCTCCCCAGGTTCTGTCCTGGGAAGGAAGCTGGAAAGCTGTGCAAGTGTGCCATTAGTGCGAGTCAGAGTGATGCGGATTGAAACCAGGTCAGTAGTCAGGAACTAGGACACCTGCCTCCTCGCCCGCCATACCAAGGTACACAGAAGCCACAAGGACACACAGAACAGACCGGAAGGCCACTGGAGCAGTCGCAGCCTCATGGAGAGGAATGGAGAAGCAGAAGTAGCAGGGACTCCGGAGGCCTCTGGGATGGGCCCCTGGCCCCTGTGAGGGAGACCTTTGTTACTGGGCAGACAGGCAGACCCTGATCACCTGGCCGGGCATGGACCCACACAGCGGGGCTGGCGTCTGTGAAGCATCTCAGACACAGAAGTGGCTGGATTTAGTGACTAGAGAAAGGGGAGGGAAGAGTGAAATCGATCCTGACGCTGCATTCTGCGTTCTGGCACCTGCCGCACACCTTCCTCTCAGAGCCTGGGCCTGGGAATGCGGTCTCTGCACAGAGGCCTCTCATACAGATAGCATCTGTCTAACAACTAGCCGGACGGCCTGAAAGACCTGCAGGTGTTCAGCGTGGGAAGAGGCTAAGGGAATACGACTGTCTCTCAGGATCTACTGTTTCTCAGTAACTTTTTCCGGTGAATTCTATCTTTTATATCATTAGGACTTCACTGAAGAGTTCTTAAGCCAAAGTATACACGTTAGATGGTGTGATTTTAAGCCAGCATATGTGGGAGCGTTGTGGAGTTGAGGAATCATGGGCTTCTTTCTCTCCCTCCACTGACTAATGGCATACAACCTCTGGTCTCCTCAGGTACGGTGTCAGCCCCGAGAACATCATTCTCTACGGCCAGAGCATTGGGACCGTTCCCACCGTAGACTTGGCCTCGCGGTATGAGTGTGCAGCAGTAATCCTCCACTCCCCACTCATGTCTGGCTTGCGCGTGGCTTTTCCAGACACCAGGAAAACATACTGCTTTGATGCCTTTCCCAGGTAAGCTGGCGTTTGTGCACAGTCGGCCCACGGTGAACGGTTGGGGTACCTATAATGGCACACTGATCCTAAGTGTCCCCCGAGCACAGAGACACCAGGCTGTGTGCTAGGGGCCGTGGGTTCATGAGCTGAGTCCTGCCGACCCGGGGGGAACGCCTGAACCACACCACCCAGAGAACAGAAAAGGCGCCCACATGCCCACAGCAGCTTAGAGTCCAGAATGCGTTTGTCCATTCATTCACCTGTATGACTGACCACAGTCCATTTGCTCATGTTCATTCATTCCGAGGGACCTGTATTATTGAATAGACAAATGTGTGAGGAGGCCATTGGCAGTGGTCCCAACACTGTAGAAAACAAGCAAGCACACCTCTGACACCTGTGTCAGATGACACAAGGAAAGGTAGCATGTGAAGTTGTCTTTGTAAAGGACATCACGGCAAAGCGGCTTAGGTATAACTGGCCTCAGAGTGTGAACAAGTTCCTGGCCACCATTTCCAGCTGCTCTTGCACTTTGAGTAGCAGCCCTGGTCTATGCAGAAATGCTGTGCTGCCAGAGGAAGCGTTAGAGGCCTCCGCCAGCGTCTCCTGCCCGCCCGCCCACCCGCTGGAGATGACAGATAGCAGCAAGCTGCCCAGTAATAGAAAAGAGAAGACGTACCAGGACCACAAAATCCCACCTTTTTAACCTAAAAGGTGGGAAGTGTTAATAAAAAGCATTTGCCCCTGGCCACTTCCCATAGTGCATTGCTGAAGTAGCACAAGTGCCCAGCTGATTTTGCCCCTTACAGAAAAAAGTAGCGGACGCAGAGATACGCAGCTTCAGGGCTGCGTTCACCTGTCCCTTGCCACCATTCTGCTACTGCCAGGGGAGAAAGGACCACGCGGACCACATTCCGCTGCATCAGTTACGCAGATTGTCCCGTTCCACAGGAACCCCATTTCTGTGCAGTTCGTCCCAGGACTCAAGGGGAAATGGCACTGCACACTCTGGCGTGTGTCTAGGAATGCTAAGTAGGCCAGTTTGCATCAGATGTGTCCTTATTTGAGCTGAATTGGTAATGCGAGGCCAGTTTATTGCATGTCTTGGGGAAGCCAGGCCAGGAGTTACCTTGGCAACAAACTGAACCTTTTCTAACTCTTCAATTAGCCAATGCTTTAACATACAGCCGTGATAATATTATGTCCTAATTCATAATGAACAACAGCTTAGGCTGTGTTTGTCTGACTTGCCAGGTTTTTGTCGTGCATTTCAGCACTGTTACTTCCTTTATTCCTCAGGCTTAGAGAAGGTAAGTAATTGGCTTAATTAAGTCGGGTGATTAAGACAGTAAAAAGAAACTATTTCTCATATTCAGTACCATAAATTATTAGTATGATAGATTAGAAACTATTAATGTTGCATTGAGTTTGATCATTAACTGAATTTGTTAAATATTTTCTTTCAGTGTCCATTGGTACCAAATGGCAGCATAGTCTTATTATTTTCCTATTCTCAAAGGAGATACTTTCTCATTCCTTTTATAATAGTAAAAATAAATTTAAAAGTCCTGATTATTGCTTCACTTATTTTTTATCTTCGTTGCACTAGGGCCTGACCATGGCATTAAAACTTCAAATACGCGCTGCCGCAGTCCAGGGCCCCCTGAGTTGTGCAGCCTGAGCACAGACGTGGCAGTGGAATGATGCCTTTTCAGTTTGAAAGGAAGGGGTGTAAATGTAGTCGAAGAGTAGGGATTGCCACGCTGCCACGCTCCATCCTCACAGATGGCGTGGCCGATGGGATTGCCCCAAAGTGGCTGCCACTCATGAGTTGTGCTCACGTGTGAGTTGTGTGTCATTGATGCCAGAGCATCAATGACATCTGGATAAAGGGTCACAATCGTCTCTCTCTGGGGTGTTTCACTGAGGATTAAATGAGCTTTATGTGTAAGGTACAGAGCACTCTTCCTACACTTAGCTGTTACCTGTAACAGAGGTTCCCACAAATAGTACCCATTTATCTTCTTTTGTAACTCTGGACTGAGATCACACATAGAAAGGGAGGCCAATGCTGAGAGGCCTTGCCCAGAGGAGAGAGCAGAGAGATTGGTTTCCTTGGTTTACTTGTGGGTTAACCGAAGCTCTCCAGCCACTCAGCCAACAAGGTTCACAGTCCTTCGCGGTCCTCCTGGGATGTGTCCTCAGAGCCTGAAGCACCATGTTTGAAGATTCCAGACTTTTATCCTCTGAGAGATTTGATTTTTATAAGCAGAAGTAATTGGGAACCCCGTTTAAGTATCACAACAAAGACTGCACTTTCATGGAATAGGGTTTGTATCTTGCTAATCAATTTTCTCAAAAAATGAGTTCTCCACATGAGTTCAATAAGACCAGCTTCCCAAAGGGACATTCATTCAGACATGTATAGTGCTAGCTTGTTACCTTCTTAATCCTCTCCCCAAACATAAATATGTCTAAAATATCAGTGGTGGCTTTGTTAGTCTGATATTTTAGGAGTTCTGCCTATAATAATAGTAATAATAACAAAAACCCCGTAGCTAAATGCTGTGTGGTATTCTTTATTGTATGCTGGGACAGAAAAGGGACATTTGTGTGAAAAAAATAATGACATCGAAATAAAGTCTCAACTACTTTGTTTGTACCAAAATTGGTTCCTTAGTTTTGACAACTATACCAGGGTCATGCTGGATGTGGATTTTGTAGGAAATGGATGAGGACCGAATAGGAACCCTATATTATCTCTGCATCTCTCTTCTAAATCCAGATGTATTCCAAAATGAAAAGTTGTGTGTCTGTCAGGGAGAAGTAACAAAGGCAGGAAAGCTGCGTTAGCGTATGCAGTCACGTGGGTGCTGGTCGCGAGCAGGTACACGGACAGTCTCTGTGCATTCTCTTCGTTTTACTGTGAAGCTAAAACTGCTCTTGGGGGAAAAAACAAACCAGAACCTCATGCTCCCCGTCTCCTCGTTCTTTGCTCCTGTCAGCCTAGTTGTTGTCAGGCGTTGTCCCTCCTCCCCCGCCCTTTTCTCACTTTCTCTCTTCCCCCTTCCTCTCCTTTCCCCTCTCTTCCTGGGAACACAACTAAAGCGTCTTTCCCCTTCTCTCCTCTGCAGCATTGACAAGATATCGAAGGTCACCTCTCCCGTGCTGGTCATTCACGGCACCGAGGACGAGGTCATCGACTTCTCCCACGGCCTTGCTATGTACGAGCGCTGTCCTCGAGCCGTGGAGCCCCTGTGGGTGGAAGGCGCTGGCCATAATGACATAGAGCTCTATGCACAGTATCTAGAGAGACTAAAACAATTCATATCTCACGAACTCCCTAACTCCTGAAGACAGCTGCTGCTTTACCTCATTTGCCGTGAACAGAAGCACCCTCCGTGTTATACACGCTTTCACTGGATAGCTGTAACAACCCAGTCACCATGAAGAAGTGCCAGCCTTCGGGGTGCTCTGCTTGACGTCTTTTGTATCTAGAGTTGTTCTAATTCCCGCCACCCATTAATTGAGCAGTGGTTCCCAGCGTCATTGCCTGCAGAGGAACTGAGAACTATAGCGGACGGTGGGGCCGTCTTCCAGAGCTGTAGAAAGTGTGTTCCGTTCTGTTTCTCACCTCGCCATCTTCTCTGATTTACTGACGTAGGACCCGCCCTCCCTCCACCAGTGTTCCCGGTATTTGACCTCAGTTTTTTCTCAGCCTCGGGGTTCCGGGGTCAGTCCATTTGTGAGCTGTGCTAGTGTAACTGGAAGACTCCTGTGAGGAGTTCCTTATTTGGGTTAACATGCTGTTTTCTTCCCAAACAGATGACTCAAAGAGTAATTTACTGTAACTATCACGAGCAGCCTCCCCAACTGCAACCATATAAATAAAACTGGAATATTCTTACACAAAAGGAACTGGGGGTTTTTTAAGTGTAAATTTATTACTAGCCAACAGAGTTTTAATATTTTGATTGTTGGGTCAGTCTAACAGAGCCTGGCTGACTTTCCTACTGTAAAGCCCTCCTTGTAGGCTTTTTTAAACTACTGTACATATTTGCAATTACATTGTGCATAGATTCTTAATGGGGAGTTTTCTTTTGTCAGGCTACAATGATGAACTACAGATTCCTTGTTTGTAATGTAAATGATTGAATACATTTTGTTAATATGTTTTTATTCCTATGTTTTGCTATTAAAATTTTTATAACATTTCCAAGACAAAAATTCCAAGTTTATGCTTTGAAGAATTTATGTAATTAAAATTTCACTAATCTGTTTAGGAGTTACTTGGGTTTGGCACTGGAATTGCGCCAAATAAGCATCGGAAATGTAAGATTCTTAAAATTGCTACACTGCTTGTGTTGGTTGGGGATCTGGGGGGAGTCCTTTGGTTTAATTTCTTTTCAAATTTAAAAGCCTTAACTGTACTGTAAACCTCAGATTGTTGTGCACCCGGATTGCGGCTGAGGCCAGTTTGTGTGCTGTTGCTTGAATGCAGCACAGTGGTGGGCAATGGAATAAAGGACGCATGGAGCAGAGCGTGTGGCCCTGTGCAGTTCTTCCCTGTGTCTTTCCACCTGATGAGTCCAGTAGGAAGAACACAGTTTGTCTGGATTTAAGAAGAGGAAATTGGGGTATAGAGATGACACTGTCTCTCAGAAGTGTATGCTTTTGTTTTGCAAAGACCTTTTTAGGTTTCTTTAGAAGCCGGGGTATAGAACATACAGCTATAAATATCAGATGGTATCTATGTAGAATATTCAGTGGAGTCTAGCTATGAAACAAAGCTGGGTGTGAGGAGGGACAGAATGTTGCTTCCTTGGGAAGCCTGAAAAGGGTCCTGTTAGCCCTTTGACCACCCAACCCGAGCGAGCTGAGGGATGATAGCTTTCAGCCTCAGACGATGGTGTTCTGAGCACGCTCAGGGGGAATGGAGGGGCTGGGGAAGGGACAGATGTCTGCGGGGACCGGGAGAGATGGGCTGCTCCCCTGCCAGGGCTCACAGAGCTCCCAGTGACGGCTGGGGAGACTCACAGCGGCTGGGGCCCGGGTAGCCAGCAGCCAAGTGAGGATCCCAAGACCTGGCTTCCGGCTGCACTGGTGGTGCGTGAACCTTGCAACACCCACTTCGCCTCCCACAGTTCAGGGTGTTTACTAGTGCCAACCAAGGTACAGTAATGTCACCGGGAAACCTTGGGCGAGAATGACAGGAACTAGGGTGGCAAGGCCCTTTCACTCCACGGATAGCGGCTGGAGCTTTCCCAGACGGGGGGCTTGCTGCGGGGCCCTGCGCTGAGATGCCTGTGGGACACAGGTATGGCCAGGCTTGTGGCTCGGCCTCCTCGCCAGGAAGCCACCACACCTGCAGCAGATCCATCCTGAGTTTACCAATGCGTGGAGACGCTCCTCTGTGCTAAGGCTTTCTTCCAAGTAAAGAAAATCAAGTGGCTACCTGAAACCTTTTCAGAGAGTAGACACGTGTGAAAATAATTGCATAAATATTGAAGGAAGGGTTTGTCAGTAACACTTAAAGCAGGTATTGTGACCATATTTGCATTAGTTCCACCAGTTATCACTCTACAGTTCGTTGAGATTAAGCAGAGCAAGTAATACAAGCTGGAATGGGTTTTTAATCACAGGTTAAAAAGAAACCCTCAAATCCTAATTAAAATAATTGTTCTCTTGTAGCCTTTGAACACTGGAGGGTTCAGTAGTTATCACTGCTTCGAAACAGAGAAAGTATCTTCGCTCTCAGAGAAAGTAAGCACTCTTTAGGAACCTGGAGCACTTCCTCCGGTGTCTGCGCCAGGGGCAGCAGTGGCTGTGTGTGCACCGCAGACACACACACAAGTGTTTCCTAGAAAGACACGTGCAGTAGAAGACTGAAAGGTTCACGAACCTTTGAAAAGACGCTCAACTTGCCCACAAATGAAGAAACGCAAATTAATTCTACTCTCAAATACCCAACCCATTCGGACTGGCAAAAATTCAAAGATCTGACACCACCTTTCCTAGGAGGGGCAGTGAGGGAGGAGAACAGATGCCCAAATGCATCACTGGTGAGAGTGAAAATCAGTGCAAGATGTGAGGGCTTGACAGGACTTATGAAAATGCGCATAACATTTGACTCGGTAACTCTACTCCCAGAGCCTATCCAACAGATAGGAATGTGTAAAATGATAGTACCAGGTTAGACATTGCAATCCTATTTGTAATTTTTTTTTAAGGAAAGAGTCTAAATGCCTAGTAGCAAGTGCTATTTAAGTAATGCTGCAACCATACCCTGGAGGAGTATGCAGCTATTTAGAAAGATCTAGTTGTAGTGCTCCTGAAACTATATATATATATAACTGCACACCACAGTTATTGCTGCAATATTCATAATAGCCAAACTAAGCATCAGCCTAAATTATCAACGGTGCACAAACAAATAAAATGTTTGGATTGTGACTGGAGGACACGGCCTCTACGCTCCCAGACCATGCTCTCTGGTTCAAGCCATTTGTGGAGTACTTCATTTCTATGTTATTTCTGTATCTATCCATGTAATAATACACAGAGACAAATGTTTGGCTACGTACTGTAACAGAAACTATCCAAACAATCTTTGAGTGGAAATTATGTTTTCTGTATGCTTGTCTATATTCTAGAACTTTTGGTAATGGCCATATATTGTACTAAGATGTATAGGACTTTCTCCTTTGTTCATTTTTTTTTTTAACTTTTGTTGGTCATGGGGCTTCAAGTCAAGGCCCAGGTGCTGTCCCTGAGCTCTTTTTGCTCAAGGCTAGTGCTCTCCCACTTTGAGCCACAGTGCCACTTCCGGTTTTCTCGTGTTTTATTGGAGATAAGAGTCCCATGGACTTTCTTGCCCAGGCTGGCTTTGAACCACGATCCTCAGATCTCAGCCTCCTGAGTAGCTAGGGTTACGGGTGTGATCACCAGTGCCTGGCTTCTGTTTTTTAATAGAAAATAAACAGCATTTTTGTAATTAGGAAAAAGAAACTATATAAAAGCATACACACATCATGCACCCATGAACATTTTAGATATTGGTGCACACGCATGCACACGCACGCACATGCAGGTCCTTTCACGGTGTAAGGGTAGGGTTGGAGGGTGGCGTCCCCGCTGGGAGGACTCAGTGGAGGAGGCGCAGGCTGTCCATGCCAGGCCACACTGTCCACAGCACTGTCCTCTCTGGAGACTGTGGGAGTGGGGGGAGGAGGTGGGGATTCTGAACAGCTCGGTCCCTGCACTGGAAAGACCTTGCAGGTGTGTGTGTGTGTGTCCAACAATAAGAAGTCCACGTCTGAAGTGCCTACGAGGTGGCACCTCGGCGCCGGTCACCCCCAGGAGACAGGACTCGAGACCCCTGACCACCCTAGCCGCTGGGCGGGACTCCACACCGGCCAGCCTGGGGAATTTCCCCCGGTGCGCGGCAGCTCGGCGCCCACGGCCGCCCTCTGCTGGCGAGGCTGGGATGAGCCTCACCTGGCGTGGGGAGGTTTGGTGGCTGCTTTTCTGCCTGAACCTTGAGGCCTCGGCCCAGGATCATGGTGTTCCTGTTTCTTTTCAGCCCTCACTCCCAGGGTGTTTCTGGGGAAACCTGGTCTGGAGGCATGCCGTGTGGGGTCAAACTTCACCCCAGCAGACAGCGTGGAAGATGGAGGGCCGGCCGCTGCGTCAGCAGGTGGAGTTGGAGATCCTTGAGCTCTCAGACGCGGCGCTGGGCTCGCAAGCCAGAAATGCCCGGCAGGGGCAGCTCGAGCGCAGTGAGCGCGCAAGTCCTGTCTGTAAGGGCAGGGTCGAAGGCAGTGCCCGGCTGAGTAAGGAGGGTGAGGCCCGGTCTCCTCTCTCTGGAGACTCTGTGTGTCTGTGTGTGTGTCTCTGTGTGTGTGCCCGCGTGTGTGTGCCTGTGTGTGTGTGAGCGTGCGTGCACGTGTCTGATTCTGAACAGTTCCTGCCCCTGCACTAATAAGACCTTGGATTTAGGGAAGCCTGGGTGGTAAAGACGTTAGGTATGCCTGTATTCTTCCAAAAAGGCACATGGGCACATGCCGTCCACCGTGAGTGTCCGGTGGAGATCTGCCTGGCGCTGGTTTTAGAGGTGAGGAGCCTGTTTGGGAGTCTCTGGCAAGGCTCTTTCCCCCAAGCATTGGGCTGTGGTCACAGAGCTGGACGCCAGAGGAGTGTGCTGGGCAGTTCTGAGGTGGGAACCGGGCCTTCCCTCTGCAGCAGCCTTCACCTTCCTCGGGGGCTGGTGGTGCCCGCGCAGTCTGGGGACCCGCGCAGCCAATGCCAGCGCCACCCACCAATGTCTCCGGGTCTGGGGTCTGGAGCTCCGCGGGAAACCACGGTATGAGGACTAAGTGAAGACACCATTTTGGGTAGAGTCCATTTAGTTTCGCTGGAGAGAGAATCTTGCCGACCCAGCCCATTGTTCCAAGGAAGATAGGAAAGGGTTCGAGATCCTGATCATTTAGGAAAGGGTTGGAGAACTTGATCATTTTTCTCTAGCTAAGATCAAGTCTAGCTTTCTAGAAAATGCGGTGGAATGCTGGAGTTTCTTAGTTTAGCCAAGAGGGCGAAGGTTTCTGCTCCAACCCAGGGACGTGGAAAAGACTCGCGAAGCTCCTGTGGCCATGACCTGGCCCCGAGCGCAGACAGGAGCCGGACCCGTGCCTCGCGGGGCTGGCAGGGCGAGGCGCGCGCCCGAGGCCTGGGCGAGCGGAGGCCGCGGGCCAGGACGCGCCAAGGGGGACTGGATGGAGGACTGGCCGCAAGCCCTTGCTGTGCCAAAATCAAACCCCACGACGAACCAAAGCCCCAGACCACCCCGAGGCCCAAACAGGGGCAGAGACGGCGGCTGCGCTGAGGCCGGCGGGCCGGCGGTTGGGGGCCTCTCCGGCCAGGCCCTGGGCCCGCTGCCCGCCGCGCCCCGCTCCTCCCGGGGCCTCTCCGCTGAGAACGCGCTGTGCTGAGTCCAGCTTGAGGCTCCCACGAGCCACTTGGCCGCGCTCGCGCGAGGGCCGAGTCGACACCCGCGTTCAGATCAAGGTCTCGGCGTGAGAGCCCCGAGTCGTTCGGGGACCGGTCAGACCCGAGGCCCGGCCTCTCCACACCGGTTTTACCCTCAAAAGTAAAAAAAAAAAAAAAAAAGCTGAATAAATGTCAAGTGTTTTTTTTCCTAATAAG